GAGTGGGGACCCCTCCGGGTCTCGGCTCCCTCAGGGCACACCGCACCGAGTGGGGACCCCTCCGGGTCTCGGCTCCCTCAGGGCACAGAGTGGGGACCCCTCCGGGTCTCGGCTCCCTCAGGGCACAGAGTGGGGACCCCTCGGGGTCTCGGCTCCCTCAGGGCACACCGCACAGAGTGGGGACCCCTCGGGGTCTCGGCTCCCTTAGAGCACACCGCACAGAGTGGGGACCACTCCAGAGGGAGTCCTCCTCGCTACCCACACCTCGCCACCCAGGATCTCCATTCCAGTCTCCTACAAGTTCCACAGAACAAAGGAAAGTAACAGAAAGAACTAGAAGGCAGTTCCTCAATCAAAGGAAAGGCTTTACGCTTACTTTTTGCGGTAATTCGTCATGAACACACAAACCAGCCTTGTTCAGGTTACATACCTCATCCTTCAGCTGCCCTCTACTCGTCTCGTGGTTCTGATATTCCGTTCTACATTTTAAAAGTTTGCGATCAGCAACAGTTATTTTTTTCTCATACTCTGCGTTATTCCCAATCTCATTTTCCAAAAACTTAATTTTTTCCTTAACCAAATTTTCCTTTTCTCTTGTTTCTTGTTTTGTTCTTGCTAATGCCTAGGATTGAAACAAATGTGTTTATTTCAAACTATGTTCAATATGACAAAATTAAAATTAAAAGAATTTAATCTTTATTTCTCTATTATATTCAGTATGTATTTTACCAAAACATCTTAAAAGAAGATGGTTCTTTAAAAAGAGGCTTTTTAATGTTAATCAAAAATATTAATATGCTACACACTAATACCTCTAAACTCATATTGTTAAAGGTCTCTATATTTTCTTTTATCTATATGGAACTTTGCTAAAAAAATAAGAAAAACAGTTAAGCTTTTTATACACCAAGAGTAACACCTAAGAAATTTAATAGTGTTGAATATTTTTTATACCAGAAGTTGAGTTTCAGTAACATTTTCAAAATACTTTACCGATCAGAATTTTTGTCTTTTGAAAATAACATTTTAGTTACTAGTTTCAATAGTAGTATCTTCACGCTGGCCTTAGAGACAGAATGATAAATAGAATACAGGAAGTACTATAACTGAAATGTGGGGAAAATGCTATGAGAACAAAGAGGTGATGAATTTTACTCAAAAGAAGTCTTTTAGAAGACATTAGCCATTTCTGACTTCCCAGTTTTGGAAGGAGGGGGAGACTTTACCCAAAAGACTTCATGTGAGTCAGGCCTAGAAAACACGAAGGGAGATGCATAAATACTGTGGTTAAAGTGCAGGGTGGAAGGGCAGGGATAAGAATAGAATAATTAAGAAGGGCTGGAGGTCAGATGAAAGGGATAAGGCTAGAAAGGTAAAGGCCAAATTGTGAAGTAATTCAAATGACATGTTAAAGAGGGTCTACAATTTTTTTTTTAAAGATGTAGCCTCACTATGTTGTCCAGGCTTGTCTCAAATGCCTGGCCTCAAGCAATCCTCCCACCTCAGCCTCCTAAATTGCTAGGATTTTAGGCATGAGCTACCATGCCCGGTTAGGGTCAATTTTTAAGCAGTATAAAACAAAGATTTTTAAGCATGGGAATAGAAAGGTCAGAAGTGGTTTTTAGAAGTAATTCTGATAACAATAGGTTAGATGAATTAGAAGTAAAATTTATCATAAAATGTATTACTTTCAAGTATGCCAAAAATGTAGTCTGATTAAGCAACTAATCACAGGAGATTGGGGAAGGAGTTTGTCTCCTGAAATCAATAAGTGTTAGAAATGCTGCATGTAGTATCATACATATTTGCATGTTAAACAAATATATATCTAAGACATCTATCTATCTACATATCTAAGACTTATTTTAAAAAGGAAACCTTGAATTTATTTAATCTAGTATTCCCAGCTGGGTGCAGTAGTTCACACCTATAATCCTAGCACTCTGGGAGGCTGAGGTGGGTGGATTGACTGAGCCAGAACAAGACCTCATCTCTGAAAAAAATAGCTGGGCATTTGGGCGGGCACCTGTAGTCCCAGCTACTTGGAAGGCTAAGGCAAGAGAATCGCTTAAGCCCAAGAGTTTGAGGTTGCTGTGAGCTGTGATGCCATGGCATTCTACCAACTGTGACAAAGTAAGACTCTGTCTCAAAGAAACAAACAAAAATCATAATTTAGTATTCCCAAATCTTTTCTATAATCATAATTAACATTCTATAATTGTAGCATTCTATATATTTACCACGTTCATGCAATGGAAAGATATGTCAACACTTCCTAAATTTAAATATCTCTAATGATCGCTGTAGAATTTCTTGCCTGACACTGATTTTTCTACTTAGTCAAATGCTTTAATCCCTACTTTAACATCATATATCTTATCAGTGCTATTCACGGTTGTTGTTTTTTTTTTTTGAGTCCAACAAAAAGGGTAGGTGGACTGATTTATTCCTCCTTCCCTAATACCTCTGGTGTCAGCAGACCAGCCTTTCTATCCTCATGAGCTGCTTCCACCAGTAAACTGGGTGCTTCTTGAGGACAAAACACCAGACTGCCAGCTACCTTGGGGTCACTTTCTGTCACCCCAGACCTGAGCCACAAGGGTAGGTGCTATTGCTTCTCCACCCACCATGCACCTTTTTCTTCCCCCACCCCCAATCAGGCTTCAACCTCTCAGTTTTCATCTTGTTCATTCCCTACAAACATTTCCCAACTCTGGCCTAGACTATGGGAAGCACAGGAGACCAGTGGGTCCCTCAGGATCTGAATAACCCCAGAGCCTGGATGTTCTGGGGGGGGTGACTCCAAAAGAGAGGGACAGAGATGACTAGAGTGCCAACTTCCCTTCATCCACACTCTTTTCCTCCTGTTCCCCTCCCCTCCTCATGGCTGTCCAGGAGATATTTGAGCTTGGCTCTCAGTAGCTGCTGCTTCTTCTCTGAGGGGGCTTCCACTGAGAGTGAGGCTCATATCTCATACGAACACAACATAAAGGAATGGAAAAAAATATTTCATGTGAATAAAAACCAAAAGTAAGCAGGTGCAGCAATTCTCATATCAGAAAATTGACTTCAATTTAACAATAGGAAAGAAACACAAGGATGGTCATTATATAATAGTAAATGGAGCAATTCAACAAGAAGACATAACAATCCCAAATATTTATACATCGAACACAGGAGCACCCAGATTCATAAAGCAAACGCTACTAGACCTAACCAAAAAGACAAACAACAACAATGTAATTGCCAGGGACTTAAACACACCACTGACAGAACTGGACAAATAATCCAACTCAAAATAAACCAACACTGAACTTAAATGAGACTGCAGCACAAATGGGCCAAATGGACATTTCAGAACATTCTACCCCAAAACCACTGAGTACACACTCTTCTCATTGGGATATGGAACAGTCTCTAAGACTGATCGTATCTCAGGCCACAAAACATATCTTAACAAATTAAAAGAAAATAGAAATCATACTGTGTATCTTCTCAGACCACAGTGGAATAAAACAAGAAATCAACTCCAAGAGAAATGTTCAGTTCTACATAAAGTCATGGCAATTTACCAACCTGCTGCTGAACTATAATTAGGGCATAATGAAGTTAAGATGCAAATCAAAAGATTACTCAAACTAAAAGACAAAGGGAACACAAGTTACCAAAATCTATGGGATTCATCAAAAACAGTCCTGAGGGAAAAATGCATAGACTTAAATGCCTATATCAGAAAGAAAGAATAAAAATTAACAACCTCATGACAAGTCTCAAGGAACTAGAAAAGGAAAAGCAAACCAAACCCAAAACCAGCAAAGAAAATTAAAAAATAAATAAAGTTTAGTCCAAAACTAAACAAAAGGAAAAACAAACAAACCAAAAAATACAAAAGATCAATGAAAGAAAAAGTTAGTTTTTTGAAAAGATAAACAAAATTGATATTCCTCTTGTTAGATGGACCAAGAACAGAAGAGAAAGACTCCAAACAAGCTCAAACAGAAACAAAAAAGGAGATGTCATAACTGATGTAACAGAAATGCAAACCATCATCTGTGAATACCATGAAAATCTCTACACACATAAATTTGAAAACACAGAGGAAGTGGACACATTTCTGGAAACACACACTCCCTAAAACTCAGTCACAAAGAAACAGAACTCCTGAACAGACCAATAATGAGTAACAAGATTAAAGTAATAATAGAAAATCTTGCAACAAAAATAAGCCATAGACAAGATGTATTCACAGCCAATTTTTACCAAATAGACAAAGAAAATCTGGTACCCATACTACACAGAATCACCTTGATACCAAAGCCAGAAAAGGACCCAACAACAAACTAAACACCAGTATCCATTATGAATATAAATGCATATCTGAAGATTATAAAAGCTATATATGATAAAACCACAGCCAAATCATGCTAAATGGAGAAAAGTTGGAAGTATTCCCACTAAGAACTAGAGCAAGACAAGCATGCCCACTATCAACACTTGTAGTCCACACCAAATGTCACACTTTGCACATCTAGAAAAAATAATTCTATGCTTTGTTTGGAACCAGAAAAGAGCCTGAATAGCCAAAGCAATGTTAAGCAAAAAGAACAAATCTGGAGGCATCACCTTACCAGACTTCAAACTATACTATAAGACTGTACTAACCAAAACAGCAGGGTGCTGGCACAAAAGTAGAGAAATAGACCAATGGAACAAACTGAGAACCCAGATATAAAACCATCCACATACAGCCAAATGATCTTCAAAAAAGCGGATAACTATATATACTGAGGAAAAGATGCCCTATTCAATAAATCATGCTAGGAAAATTGGTAGCCACATGCAGGAGAATAAAATAGGATCCATGTCTCTTACCACTCACAAACATTGATTCAAGATGGATAAAAAGACTTAACATGGCTTGGTGCCCATAGCACAGTGGTTACAGAGCCAGCCACATACACTGAGGGTGGCAGGTTCAAACCCCTGGGCCAACTAAGCAATAATGACAACTGCAACAACAACAACAACAAAAAATAGCTGGGTATTGTGGCGGGTGCCTCTGGTCCCAGCTACTTGAGAGGCTGAGGCAAAAGAATAGCTTGGGTCCAAGAGTTTGAGGTTGCTGTGAGCTGTGGTACCACAGCACTCTACTGAGGGTGACATAGTGGGACTCTATTTCAATAAATAAATAAATACATAAATAAGACTTACCAGCACATGCAGGGCATGAAACCATAAAAGCTCTATAAGAAAATGTTGGAAAAACTCTTAAATTCTAGATATTAGTCTAGGGAAAAATGGATGAAAAAGATCCCAATGGCAATTACAGCAACAAACAAAAACAAATAAATGGAATCTGGTTAAATTAAAAAGTTTCTGCAGGAAATAATAACAGAGAAAATAGACAACCTACAGAATGGGAGAAAATATTCACAGTCTATACATCCAGGAAAGGGCTAATAACCAGAATCTACAAAGAACTCAAGCAAATCAAAAAGGAAAAAGCAAATAACCCC